TCCGAAAGGCGAAATTATAGTTTTAAATCTTATAATTTTCCCTAAAATTCGTCAAGGCTTCATAGTAATATAGTATAATATTAGCAGTGTAATGTTTATTGACAATACTATTGTACTTACATACATATACCTATTACCTATTTATTTTTATCATAAACACATTTATTTATATTAAAAAAAAAATAGGTTTTCATTAGAAAGTTTAAAAATCGGTGTAGGAGTGGACAATTTTATACAATTAAAATATGAAGAAAGTATTGAGTTTGTTAATAAGTATGAGGTACCTAACCTATGAAGTTTAAAACTATATATTAAGATTTATTTTTTATTTTTAAAATTTTTTTTCTAGAAAATATTAAACATAAGTCCAGAAAGATTGAAGGCTGAAATGATAGTCCTAAAAAATATGATCAATAAAGAAAATTATGAAATAGATGACATCATACCTGTTGTAGACAACAATATTTTTCCAAATTTTTATAAACTTTTGCAAACTGCACTTACTATACCTATATCATCTGCCTCATGTGAACGTTCATTTTCTGTTATGAGGCGAATAAAGAATTGGACTAGAAATACCATGACAAATGATAGATTTACAAACTTGTCAATACTTCATATCGCAAGAGATTTATCACATGCAATAGAATCAGAAAATGTACTTAACATATTTTCAGAAAAACACAGACGCCTAGCTTATGTTTGATTTAATAATTTAATTTTAATTTTTTTATCTTTTTTTTTATATTGCAAAATAAAATGCCAGGTTAAGAAGAAGGCAAATATAAATTGTTTTTTTTTTTAGAAAATGTTCTTTTACTTTTTAATTCCAGTTAAACGAAAGGAGTTTTTTGAATGGTATATTTTTCTAGTCCTATATAGCCCCCACATATAATTATGCCAAACTACGCCCATGAATATATCCCAAACCTAAAAACTTAATAAAATGTTATAACATTTTGTACACGGCATGTTATACCGTATTTAAATGCTGTAAAAATGTTGAGTCTCTTACTCAAAAACCCATGCAGTAGTAACGCAGTTCTGAAAATATGTCTTCACATATTATGCAAATCAGTAATACTTTAATAGTACGGGACGGCTCAGAGGAAAACTGCTGAACTACAAACTCTCAAATCGGTAATACTTTACCAATAGTTATGAAACTTTGTACACGAGTACACGGCACGATTTGTACCGTATTTAAATATCGTGAAAATGTTCATTCTCTACCTCGATTCTCGAAAACCGAAGCAATTATAAGTTGTAACGCAGTTCAGTAATTGCAACACACATACAAATCGTGCCTACGCGCGACATGATAAGGACCCTGTATGTTTTGTTGCATTACAACATTTATAGGGCACTTACTAAAATAAAGCAACGTATAAACGTATTACGCCAGACAGTGACTTAGAATTAATAAACATCCCTGACTTTATGATTAAAATTAAATGTTTGTCATGGCCCAAGGTTAGCCATTTTAGGTTTTATTTATGTTGAATGTAGCAGTTTTTTGTACAATTCAATAGTTTTATAATTTATAATGTTTTTATAGCATATTGAAATGCATTCTTATGACAACTGCTCAAATATACAGGGTGTTTCTGAAATTAATGAGGTAACTAGTATAGGCGTACTCAGTGTGATGGTCCAATGAAGATTTTTCTGAATTTTTTTTTCTATCTTCAAAATATGGGCTTATACAAATTATTATTAGAACATTATCTTAAATGTAAAAATAAATAGTTGTATTTTTTGCAAAATTCTCATAAGAATCATTTAAACATCATTTTCGCGCTTGTCGCGTGTTTTTCACTCTCGAATCACCGACTAAAAAAAAAAATGGTGTGACACATCGATTTGTATGAGGACACTATACAATATAAACAGTCTTGATAGTTTTTTGTTGTTATTTAAAATACATGATTAATTAACGCATTATTTTACTTTGTCAACTAATAAAAATGACAAAATAATAATACAATTAGGGTTAACAAAGTTTTAAATGATCGAATTTACTGACATACATTGATTTGTGTGATTTAGATGTACCTACAGGTAATAAAATATGGTAACTTTTATCCGTGCTGTATATTATAAAATACTTAATTGACCGTAATTTTAACATAAAGAACATTAGTTGATTTGATTATAGCTGAGTTCAATACTGGGGTTCAGCAACACTTTAAATTTATTTTTAAGATTTAAGTTTTTAATTTACATTTTGAACAATGGAGTATACTAACATTGAATATTCAGAAAGAACATGTTTATGCCAAAGAATTACCTAAATAATAGAGATGAAATTTTGATGAGAATTAAGAATGTAGCTGATATCATTCGTCAAACACCAAATTTGTTGGAAAAAACTTGGAATTCATTACATCGTCGGATCGAAAGTGCATCGAAGTTAACGGGAGTCACATACTCACATTGAACAACTGTAGATAAAAATAGGTTTTCAAAATAAAGAGTATTTAATTATGATTATTTTACAATGTAACACAACTTGAATGTATGTCAGTAAATTTGATAATATAAAACTTTGTTAACCCTAATTTTGTTATTATTTTATCATTTTTATTTTTAGGCCTTGACAATGTAAAATAAAACGTTAATTAATTGTGTATGTTAAATGACAACAAATAAATAGCAATACTGTTTATCTTGTAGTGTTCTCATACAAATCGATGTGCCACACCATTTTTTTTTTATTCGGCGATTCTAGCGTGACAATCGCGAAAATGATGTTTAAATGATTCTTATGAGAATTTTGCAAAAAATCTAACTTGCCCATTTATTTTTACATTTAAGATAATGTTCTACAAATAATTTGTATAAAATCAGGTTTTGAAGATAGAAAAAAAATTTCAAAAAATCTTCATTGGATCATCACTAAAGACCGGATTTATATGTTTTTACATATCGTTACTGGGTCTATGCAGTCTTATGAGAGTAAAAAATGTGGACGATTCGTTCAATTCTGAATGCGTAGAAAAAAGTTTTTTTTGCATATTTGAGAATATTTCATGGGTTGGAGAATATTTAAATCATTTAGCATATTTTGGAATATTTCGTAAATTGTGAGCAAAAATTTGTATTTATTTTTATAAATTTAATATTACGGTACTCTGAAAAATTTTTTTTGACCATTTACAATTTATTTTTTTTTTTCATTTTGATAAAAATAAAGCACGCAGTATTATCAAGGTTTATCTATGTATATCTACTGATAAGATCAACTTATAAGTTTATCAAATATTCAAATATCAAAATTTTGTTTTTGTGTTTTAATATTATACTGTTATATAAAATTTTAAAAAATAAATGCATATTAAAGCATATAATTATGTTTTTTGATTATTTTTGCATATTTTTTAAATTTTTGAGAGAATATAATGAGAATATATGAAGGTTTTTTAGAGAATATTAGCATCATATTTTGGGTATTTTAAGAGAATATAAATCCGGTCTTTAATCATCACACAGAGTACGCCTATACTAGTTACCTCATCCATTTCAGAAACACCATGTATATTGTAAATATGTTTTTAATGATATTAAATTATCAGCCTACATAATAATGTGTCAAACAACTCTAGTCTCTAACATAATATGTCTTAAGATCGAGCACCGGGTTTTACAATATATCAATAAATGCATATCAGTTGAAGCTTTTTGTAAATTGTTTGTTTCTCAAAACTAACTTGAAAATAAAATGTAATAAAAAAGCCAATGAGATGCCCTAGATAATAATCGTATCTATAAATTCTATAAGTGGTCAATTGACTCAATTTTTTTTTTTAAATAAGTTTTATATTTAGGTACATTTAATTGTCATAATTATAAATTATCTTCATAATGTTATGGTGTATTTATACAATTATACCTAACCTTTTGTTCACTTATGTTTTCTCTCTAATGCCTGAGCTTAATAACTGCTGAGCTATATAATTTAAGTATTGGAAGCTAAATAAAAATAAATAAAAATAAATATACTTAAACTTTGGTAGGTATTATACATTTAAAATGGTATTCAACATTTGTATATTGGCAAAAAAACATACAAACATTTTTAAATTATACAAATATACAAGTCAATATTATACATATAATTTAGGTACTATAGTGATATGTCAACCACAGCACTCATTTTCCGTTTATGATTTCCAATTAAAAATATTACAATTATTTTAAAAGCCCTAGCAATTGTATTTTAAATACAATTAGTGAACAGTTAATCATTAACTGTTAATGTGTAATAATATAATATGAAGAGATGTAAATTATTTAATCACACAGATCAAATGTCTAGTAGAAAATAAATTAAAAGAGTCGAATTTCTGAATTTCTATACTGAAGGCCCAGGTGGGTATAAGTTTCAAAACTACCAAACAAGAGACTCGTGTTACAATTTTTATTTTAAATAAAATAAATTTATAAGGAACTTATAACAAAATGAAAAAAATTCTGTAGGTTTATACTCAACTAAATTTAACATAATAAAATAAAACAAATTACCTCAATATTACAATTTTTAAATTTTATTATATAAATAAAATATAAAAAGTGGGTGTCACTCTGCTGTACAGTAGGTTACAAGTGGGTCACTTTAATGGATGGTGTTAAATTTGAATTCAATGATATAATATCATTGTTTAAGAAAAACGATTCTGAGCGAAAACGGTCAGTTAGCCTATGATATTAATAAGTATATTTGATGATATTATTGTGAATACAGTAATTTATATATTTTACCTATTTACGTGGAACCTAGTTTTAAATTTTCAATCCTTAGATATAAAAGTTGAACATTTTATATATATTTAACTATAAAATAATTATTAAATTTTGTCAAAATTCGAACTTTTTAAAATTTATAAAACTTTATAAAAAAAAAAGTGCCTAAGTATTTTTAATATTTTTCAACTGAATACAGGAGCCTTGCATTACATTTTCACACTTTTTTACCCAACAAAAAAATTGCATTGATATTTATGGAAAAAAAACTAAAAAAATTGAAAACTGACAATGCCCGTAAACAGATCAAAAAGAATCAAAATATTTTCAACATTTGGACCAAACTATTAAGGATATCTGCCATCTGGATAAGGTTTTTTCAATGGCGCAAGTGGCATAAGGATCACACATACCCAAAACCACAAGTAGGTCCATTAATGGTAGCAGAGATACAGCAGGCCAAAGAGCGTTGGATTACAATAACGCAGAGGCAAGCGTTTCCAGAAGAGATTAACAGCTTAAGGAATAATCAGCAAGTGGTGCGTGGGCCACTTAGAACGCTATCACCATACCTCGACAACGATCTATTGAGAGTTGGTGGCCGACTGGAAAACTCAAATATATCCGCAAATAGAAAGCATCCAGTTATCCTACCAAGGCAACACGTGGTGACAGAGATGATATATAGAGAATATCACCAGAGGTACATGCACGTTGGACCACAAGGACTATTGGCAGCAATAAGAGAAGAATTTTGGGTTCTCCGAGGACGCGATGTAGCCAGAGCAACAGTGCACAATTGCCTTAAATGTTTTAGAGCCAGGCCCAGCTCGTTACAGCCAGCCATGGGACAACTACCTTCAGCTCGAGTTACTCCTAGTCGAGCATTCGCGCAAACAGGGGTAGACTTTGCAGGACCTTTAGTGGTAAAGCTTGGATTACGAAAGTCTACCACAACCAAAGCATATGTGGCAGTGTTCGTATGCCTCGCAACGAAGGCTATACACTTGGAAGCAGTCAGTGCACTGAGTACCGCAGCATTTATGGCGGCATTGAAAAGATTTATGTCACGGCGAGGAAAGCCGTCCCATATCTGGTCAGACAACGGAACGAATTTTGTGGGAGCCCGAAAGGAACTAGAGTGTTGTTTCAAAAAGCAGCTTACCGGTCGTACGGTACCAGAAGAACTAGTAGAAGAAGGGGTGCAATGGGTATTCACACCTCCTTCCGCTCCACATTTCGGCGGCATCTGGGAAGCAGCAGTGAAGTCGTTTAAGCATCATTTTGTGAGGGTAGCAGGCGCCGCTATTCTAAACTTCGAAGAGTTGTCTACGTTACTTGCTCAAATCGAAGCATGTCTCAATTCCCGACCAATGACTGCATTGTCGTCAGATCCGGCAGATCTACAAGCTCTCACACCAGGACATTTCCTGATAGGTACACCAGTACTCATGCCTCCGGAAGCGGACTACTCAGAGATGCCCGATAACAGACTGAAGAGATGGGAACTAGTTCAAAAAATTACTCAAATGTTCTGGAAGAGGTGGCGTTTAGAGTACTTGTCATCGCTTCAAAGCAAGGCTAAATGGTTGAACCCTACTGCGAATGTAAAAATCGGAACACTGGCAGTCCTAAAAGAGGATAATGTACCACCCCTCCAGTGGAAGATGGTAAGAATCATCGAGATACACCCTGGAAAGGATGGCATTGTGCGAGTGGTGACTGTACGTACCGCCAGCGGTCAACAGTTAAAACGGCCTACAGTCAAGATATGTCCGTTACCTATGGGTAAAGAAGAATGAAGCCCTGAGCTTCATGGTGGGCGGGATGTTCACGCGTGAACAATTATGTGCTGCGCTCTAGTAGTAGGCCCGGCACCTACGCTCCTCAAACACCTGATTGTATGCCTCACTATCAAATGTCACCCATAATCAGTTTTTGTTTTTGTAATTTTTTGGTAATATGTAATGCAATGTAATGTTAGTAGGTACTAGTTAGATAGTAAGAGTCCAAAAAAAGTGCTGAAGTAGCTAAATTTTTACTGTATTTTTTGTGCTTTTGAGTATTGAATTGAAGGGTCAACACGCACAATAGTGTTGCGTTGTGCAGCCATTCAACTTAAAATATAATATTATAATCACTACAAGAAGTGAATCGTTCACAATTAGTTAATTTATTGTACTAAGTGTATTATAAAATGTAAATTATTATGTAACTAGCATAATGTGTTATTATTATTATAAATGTATGGTATTGTTTTCAATTATTATAAGCGAGCAGTAGCTGGCCAGTTCCTGCACTCCACTATACTGTGAGTTTTTTATCATTTTATTGTATTATTATATAAGTATATTCAGAGTGAGTTAAATTATAATTATTATATACTAATTATTATAACTATCAACTCTTATTTATTATTGAATAGCACGAATGAGTGCCCTCTATTTAGTCGCACTGTGAATGAATAAAGATTTTAATATACTATTATACATTTTGTCATCACACTTTATTATTTTATTATTTAGTTACCCCAAGTCTGTTAACTGTCTTACACACCCTCTTGTTCACTGCAGGCAAACCCTCCGTTTACAAGTAAGGTTGTGTGTAAGCAGCGTTCCTTATTATACAGTCCACTCTGTTTAGAGCGTTAGGTGCCGGGGAACCCACCATATTATTTGAAGGCCCTCGCCCGAACACGGTGTATATAAAATGAGAATATAAACATTCAGTGAAATTTTCGTGCATCTACAGTTATTCGTTTTTGAATTATAACAAAATAACATATTCGGTATACATGAGAAATCGAGTGAATATCCAAAGTTGTAAAAATATGAACTTCAAACGTTAATAAAAATGTAATTTGACTTTCTTGTAGAGTGTGAATTTCTAACTTAAAATAATTTGCTAATTTTCGTAATTTTTCCGTATTTTGTCAATATTTTAACTTTAAATGCTTATAAAAAAAAAAACTGTGACTAAGGTTTATTAATATTTTTCAAATGTCATTATAACAATATAGTAGGAGCATTGTATTAAATTTTCAAGCATTTTTACCCAACAAATAAAATTTTATTGACATTCATAGAAAAAAAACAAAAACTGAGTAGGTATATATCCGTTAACAGCCCAAAACAAGTCAAAATATTTGAAAATGTTTTCATGTATAAAAAGGCTAATATAAACATTCAATGAAAATGTCATGTATTTACGATAATTTGTTTTACAGTTACACCAAAAGCCAAAACCAATTTTGTCAAAAACCTATTTTCCTTGTTGATGTTCCTGTTCAGTTATTTGTCGATAAATGTTATAGAGTTCATGTATGCCTTAATACCTTAACATTAAAATATGTCACATAATAAATTAGAGTTAAATCATTTATTAATTTAAAATATACCTAATATTAATGGAAACTCAAAATGTATTTTTTAATTGATCACTCAAACGCTATTTCAAACGCTCTCCCCTTACGACCTTTGTAGACCAGAGCCAAGTTCTTTACCACCCTCGAATTAAACTCGAGAATCTCATCGTTATTAAGTTTAATTGATTTAGGAAGGTACACATTGATAAGTTTATCGCCATCGTTATAAATATCGAAATATAAATAATTATAGAAAAATTAGGACACAAATAAATGCATATTTTAAGGATTTTAATGGCATGAAGTCCCTAGCCTTAATTATTTGTAAATTTGTAATCAATAATTATTACCACAGTTTACTGACTACAGCATTACTAAAATACATGTCGACAATATAAAGCATCATAAAACTGATCTATTAAGAAATAATAGAAACTTGGTGGGTACATAATAATATATCTACGTGCGCACATGTACCCATAAAAACTGTGCTCAAAATTAATTTGATTGCAAATGTGTATTATGCGTTAGGTACTTAAAAATAATTAATTTATAATATATCGTAAATAATAGTTACCATCAATGTCTAATGATTTGAAGCTCTAAGCAAATATTCAAGGGTGAGTGCATTTTGTTGGACAGGTGAGTACAATAATTTTCGAATAATTCCTTGTATTTTTATATCATTAATACAATTAATAGTTTATTATTTAAAAAAATTCAAAAAATACTATAATTTGACTTTCGTCTTGGGGTGAGGGGAGGACCTCCACTAATGGGCACTCCTGACTACAAAGTATTTTCCCATTCATGAAATAGAGAAATATGTTTATTTAAGAAGTGGTGTATTGTCATGGTATAGGTATGTGAGAAATGTAAAAAATTGTGGTTTTTTATTTTGTAATATTTATAGTATTTGAAATTATTTACTAGCTGATTTTAGTTTTATTTTCAAAATATCACGAAAAGTGCCATCGGACTACACATACTAGATATTAGTATATTAGTAGATATAACTACTATAGTAGTTCATTTACTTCTCACTAGGGACTGGTAAATTTTAGTTTTTACGGTTCCGGTTCCGGTACTTAATTGTTTTATTAAGAGGTTCTGGTTACGGTTCTGGTTTATGAAAATGAATTCAACAGTTTAAGATAGGGTTCTAGTTGAAACAAGTATTAAAGATTACAAAAATGTATATATTTTATTTATTCTTATATGGGTTCCGGTTCCGGTTATTTGAAAATATTCAAATTCGGTTCCGGTTAGGTTCTGGTTATCAAAATTTAAATGGTTTTTGGGTTCCAGAACCGGTTCTTTTTGGTTTGATTCCAGTCCCTGCTTCTCACACATTGACACAGCCAAAATGAACATGTAATATTAAATGCCTAAACACTACTCCTTAACACATGGTGAAGGTATGCTTCAGCCCCTTTTATTATTTTTAAAAGTATTATTATTAATAATTTTAATATTATAATAATATTAGTTAAGGAATATCAAAATGTATTATGTGGCTATGCCCAATAAAATAGTAAAACGCAAAATTATGCCAAATGGGCAAAAAAAAACCTTGAAATACCTATGCAAAAATATGCAAAATAAAACTTCAGATACTTATCCATGGTTATAATCCAACAATAATTAACAATAAATATTTTATCGACACGGTAAATTTAATAGTATCAAAAAAATAATTGACAAATAAATAGTGTTATTGTTTTTTCTAATAAATAACCAATAAACGTATTTTTTAAAACTGTGACATCAGGTATTATTGCAAATACGGTATCGAATTTAACATCTCATTAATTGTATTTGATCATTTACAACTAACAGGTGTACTTATTTGTGTACACACTACTAACATAAAACGCGCATATATTTGCTAACATTATTTTTTTATGCCTATTATATGTTTTCGTATTATAATAAAAATTTGTCTAATTAAACATATAACTGAATAGCTCTACATTAAGATGGATCCATAGGTAGGTATATAGGGTTAGAACGACCATTTAGTTTAGTTACAACGTCTTACTGTTGTGCAGTTATCTCTATAGTCTATATAGGTTTTATTGTTATATCGGATATATTTTGTGCATTTATTAATTAATATCATGGCTAAGATTCTATTTTTGATGTCCATAATGCTTCTAAGTTGTTACTTAATGGAACAAGCAAAATTATCACACGATAACAATATGATCGAAAGAAACATAGAAACTAATACATTGAAGGTAAGTAAAAATATTATGTAATATTTTAAAATATTTGTATATACAATACGCCTGTGATATAATATCCTGATTACTAACGATTGTTATACGACATTTCTGTGTTTAGATTTTAGATTCTAGAGACTGTGCCGTATAGGTGCATACGGAATGTGGACATCATTGCAAAATGTAATAGTGTCATTTTGTTGTATATCATTTTTTATAAATTGTAATTATACGGTTATACCCCATCATGGCCCACGAGTAATAATGAAATATTATATTTTAGTTTTTGTTCGCTTAAATAAGGGTGTATAATGATATTATCAGCATTATGTTTCGATTAATATTAGGTATAATAAAAAGTCACCGAGTACAAATAATCACTAATTTGTAGGTAGTTGGTCGATGATTTTTGTACGAATTTATTTATTATTACCTACATGTTCCGATGGTTGTGTCGAAAAATAGTTTAAAAGTTTTTTTTTTACGAATTCAATTTTCTTTTATATACATTTAACATGTATGCAAGAATGTTTTTGGACTACCTATATAACCATCAGTTCAGCAAGATTGGACTTTTTACGCCATGTTTGATTTTCAAAATCCACGTTTGAGCAATCAATATTTCCTTAAAAAAAATACAATATTTGGCCATAAAAATAAAAAGTAATTATTATGCCTTTTTCAAAATATTAAAATTTATCTAAGCTATATAGCTTAAATATAAATGGTGTAATAATATTACATTACTTACCTAGAATATATGTTCATAATATTAAAAAAAACCCGTATACTATGTAATATGACTTTTGTAAAATTTAAGTGATAATCAATAAAATAATAATAATAGCTACCTATGGAAAATTTTATAAAATACGTTAAAACAAATATGTATAATAATAAATATTTAATATTCATAAAATAATAAAATAAATAAAATAGGTCGGTACTTAATGAACTTTGTGTTAAATCAAATTATATTTCCTATCGAATTCCCAAGTACCACTCTGCTGTCTGCTGTACAATTTTAGGTGTCATTGTAATGGATGTGTTAAATTATATTATACAATTATTATTGTATACGAAAAACAATTATAATATTAATTGGTAGTTATAGGTCAGTGGTTAACGCCGGAAAAAAATGCGAGAGGGGGGTGGTTTTGAAAAAATGTAAAGTATGTATGTTATTAGTAATACATTTGTAGGTCAGATACAT